GCAAAACATTATTCTGACAAGAAATAAACACCGTCTAATGCTATTAAAAATTGTAAGATTTATAGCAAAACATTATTCTGACAAGAAATAAACACCATCTAATTCATGCTGCTTGTACATTTGCAAATTCATTGCAGAGGTTAGAAAGGGAAAAGTCCTTTCTTCCTTTGCCAATGGAAAGATCATGTTTCTTGGGAGCTTGTCTTAGAAATGAACAAAGTTCAGCTCTGCTCATGGCATCGAAGGAGACACTTTTGTTGTTTCTTATGACTAGAAATCCACAGATTTGCAGCTAGTGCTGAAAAACCCCTGCTCTGCGTTTATGAGATTAAATCCTTGCTGATTCATCTTCATTCCTGTTTTAGGGTGATCCTGGTGAGGGATTGCCAGGACCTCCTGGACTGCCGGGACCTGTGGGGCCATCTGCTCCTTCCAGAGGATTTGTGAGTATTTTGGGGTTCTCTGACAACGAGCTTGGCTTGCCATAGAGGAATCCAGAACTAAATAGGAGGTTTCTCTGGGAAAGTAGCCTGACTGCCACAGAAATATTCATGTTTTCTAAAACACTCATGCAGAAATGCAAATAAATATGTAGCTAAAGTGTGTGAGTGTTGTAATCTACATAAACACCCACTATTCACATTTTGAAAAGCCAGTTGATGTGTGTGTTCTCCTGTGCAAAAGCAATAATATATGGGAGATCAAGAGACAAAAATTTCCTCAAAAAGACATTATAAACCTGAATTATTCATTTTTTTCCTGCCACTGAACACAGAAATGGTTTGACAGTCATTTACATTTGCTGTCATTAAATACTACAACACATACCAGTGTGGTGACAGCGTTCATATTTTGAATGCTCGATCCTCCGGCAATGTTTCAGATTCATCTCTCTCCTCTACTTGGGCCTTTCCCAATGTTTTCATGAGAATACATGTGTATGCAGCTGAAGAAGGAATCTGGCCTGAATTTTCAATTCATGGTGTAGGAGCCGATTTTACATGTAGACACAGCCCACCACTGACACCAGTAGGAGTCCTGTGGTAGACTCTCAAACAAAACTACTACTGAGTATTGTGAGAATTTAACAAGAGAGTTTGCAATATATTCCAGTGAACAAAATGGACTGTATGGTCCTCTGATCTAAGGTCTGCTAGAATTATACCAATCTGTTTCCATAGTATAAAAATAGAGTAACAGTGTTATGAAGGACTGCACTAAGTTGTGCACTAAGGCCTCAAGTTGTGCCAGGGGAGGTTCAGATTGATTATTAGGACATTTTTTTACACTGAAAGGGTTCTTAAGCATTGGAATGGGCTGCCCAGGGGAGTATTTGAGGCACCATCCCTGGAGGTATTTGAAAGATGGGTTGACATAGAGCTTGGAGA